TCATCATCATCATCATCATCATCATCATCATGATGCTGATGATGAAGAAGAGGAAGAGGAAGAAGAAGAAACACATTGACTTGGGTATTCTTTGGCTTTCTCAATTATCCAGCATGCATCAGCAATAATGTCTCGGGTTCCTTGGCCTTTTCTAAAGCCATCTAGAACACCTGACATCTCTTCTTCCGCGTAGGGCTCTAGTCTGCATTGCATGATCCTAAGCATTGTTTTGCTAGCATATAAAATTAAGGATACTGCACATTAGTTTGCACTATGTTAAATCTCCTTTTTTGGCATTGGACCATAGATTGACGTGTTCCAATCTGTTGGCCACTGTATCATTCTCCAGATTTGCTGGCACAGCTTGGTCCGAACCTTTACTAATATTTCTTCTGTTGCTTGCCATATTTCTCTGGATATTCCATCAGTTCCTGTAGCCTTCCAACTCGGTAAGGACCAGAGTGCTGATCTAAGTTCATATTGTAGTTCTAGAGATTCTTGTAAGTAGGGAATATCTTCTAAGGTATCTTGGATGTTGAGATCTCTGCAGTTTCAATATACTCCTGCGATCTTCTTTGAGTCACTTACTATCATTGGTGTCCTTTAGAATACCAATTTGAGGTTGCAACCTCCTTCTGAGTTCAGAGATCTTTTGAAAGACTTTACTTATTTTTCCATGTCTGTTTCCGTCTTTCATGTAAAGACATGTTTATGTTGCAATACTGCTTCTCATGTCTTCTAACAGCTCTCTGTAACTCTTGTTAAGTTCCTTCCTGAGGTTTTTTTTCTTTCTTGGCTTTGGCTTCTCTTCTTTTCTTGAAAATTTCCATAGTTTGTTCTGACATCCAGTTAGTTTTCTTCTCTTTCTTCATCTTTGGCAATCCCTTTTTCCATTCATCCTTAATGATTTCTTTAAAATCATTCCACAGTTCCTCTAGTTCTCTATCAATGAGGTTCAGGACTTCAAAGCAATTCCTGATGTTCTCCTTAAAATGGTGGATATATGCTCAAAATCATACTGTGGAAACTAGTTGGTTTTCCTCTTCTCCTTTAGCTTAACTTGGAGCTTGCACATGAGCAGTTCATGATCTGTTCCACAGTCAGCACCTGGCCATATCTTTGATGCTATAACTGAGCTCCTCCACTTCCTTTTAGCAATAATATAATCAATTTTGTTTCTGTGTATTTCATCTGACGATGTCCATGTACACAGACATCATTTTGGTTGTTTGAAGACAGTGTTAGCTATAAAGAAATCATTGGAGTGGCAGAGTAAGTCATTCTTCTATACTCCTGACATACATTCCCAGCATTCTTCACTCATCCCTCCCAGGAACACACATCCTTGCCATGATGAGGGAACACTGCAGGACTTGGGGGGGGGGGTTGCTCTTG